CTTAAAACTCACGCCGGGCGCATGTGCGTGCGTGCCCAAGATCCCAAGAGGAGAATGGAGGAAAAGGGATTGAGGCATGGCCATCCTCCCTGGGGGGTGATTTCTCACTTTCTATCTTTCTTTCTGGCTAGCGCACGTGCCCTATAGCAAAAACCTCTCCAAATAAAGCACCCTTAATTATCTTTAAAGCTTTGTACACATTAATCATTAAAGCTAAGGTAAAGATGCAGAATAAGATGAGTATCAAAGTAAAAAAACAAAAAAGAAAGAAAGGCTATAGAAACCAGGGGAAGCCAATCAAGATAACGCTTAGATCATCAGTTAGATAGAAGGAGCTTTGCAAATGGCAAAGGAAGTCTAGTCCTTTCTGTGAGGAGGCTAGTAGAGTCTTTACCCTTCCTATTTTCATAGCTCATTAGCTATAAAGAATCAGCAGTTATTATTAATTTTCACTGGGTTCCTTTGTTCTAAGAGAAGTAAAAGGGTTGAGTTCTGTAAGACTCATTGTAAAGTACATTTTTAAGTAAAGAGGACAAGGTTAAAGACTAATTTTTCTTTTTTTATAATTATTTTATTTAAAATTTATTTATTTATTTATTTACTTTTAATTGACCAGAGAGGGACAGTGGGGGGATGGTGGGCAGTAGGGGGTGGGAAAGCAATTCACCAGGTCCAGGACTTGAACCATGCTCAGTCATGTGGAAGTCCAACGTCCTTAACCACCACACCACCTACTAGTCCCCTAAAGCCTAATTTTTCTAAAGTTTGATTTTTGGTCCTTTTATGACTCAGTTACAGGATTAATGGTTACAAAAGGAAATTTAATATGTGATTATAAAGTTTACTAGAATATTCAGTATTACTATCAAGAGTATTAAATTAATACTGATATAAAGTACTGAAACAACGAGGTTTTTTAAAGTACTGATTTGCTCTTAAATAATGAAAAAAATTATAAAAGGTTTTTTTTCCAGGCCAGCAGGTGGTACAGTGATTTGAGTCCCATACCAGGTGGCTTGCTTTCTCACTTTCTCTTTCTGTGTGTGTGTGTGTGTCTCTCTCTGGTCAAATAATTAATATTAAGAAGAAGAACAACAAATAAAATAAATAGTTCTTTAGAAAAAAATAAAAATAAAGGGGTTTTTTCTCCTTTAGTAATTTTTAAAAAGTGTCTATGTTTATCTCCAGGTTTTTTGTGTGTTTTATGCTATCTTCTGTTATATCTTTGATTGCTTAAGAAAAAGTAAACCACCCCACTTCCATCTGCAACCCCTGCCCAGTCAGGGAAACTGAGGCAGGACCATTCATTGGCCCCAGCTCCAGCCCCAACCCAGCTCTCCTAACCTCAGAGCTTCTGCTACTCCCTGCCAGAAAGTATTGGGAGACTCCCTTGGATCTTCACTCTGTACTGAACCACTTACAAAAAAGTAGAAACTGCTCTTATGATACTTGCATAGAAAACTCCTCCCATGGAGACCATGTTGCTAAACACACAGGAAAAGAGACTTTGGCACACAAGCAATCCAAAGCAAAAGGGAAGCAAACTCATTCCTAGTGCCAGAAACATCCTCCAAAAACATATCCAAAAGGGAACATATCACCCAATGGCTAGAAGTCACAGAAGAGCTTCAAGTTTGAAAAAAAAAAAAACAGGAAATATGTCTCTGTTAAAAAAAATAACTCTTCTCCATCTCTTGACAAATCAGAAGTTACTGAAATGTCAGAGAAGGAATTCAGTACATTCATAGTGACAAAACTCTATCAGTTGGAACAGAAAAGAGACAACAAATTCCAGGAGATAAGGAAGCCTTTCATGATTTGAAAGAGGAAATGGACACCATAGGAAAGAATCAGATGAACTATTAGAGATGAAGTCTGTAATATAGGAAATAAAAACCTCTCTCAAGAGTATTAAAAGCCAATTAGACCGTGCTGAAGATTAAATCTCAGACATAGAAGATAAAACCTCTGAACTAGAAAAAAAAAAAACAAGACAGAGAAAATAACCAAAAACGTGAGGATAATATGCAAGAAATACTAGATTCCACTAAGCGGCCAAACATCCAAATAATAGGTATCCCAGAAAGTGAAGAAACTAATAAGGGCATGGAAAATCTATTCCATGAAATCCTGGAAGAAAACTTTCCAAGTCTAGAAAAGCACTCAAACATCCAGACACAAGAAATACAAAGGACCCCAAATATAATCAACCCAAGAAGATCCTTCCCAAGGCCAGACTGCCCAAATCCACAGATAAAGACAGATACTAAAATTGGCAAGAGAGAAACGTCAAATGACTTTCAAAGGTCAGCCCATCAGGTTAATACCAGACCTTTCAACAGAAACAATGCAAGCAAGGAAAGAATAGGAAGACATATTGAAAGTGTTAAGAGAAAAAGAATTTCAACCAAGATTATTATATCCAGCAAGATTATTCTTCACATGGGAAAAAAATTATTAAAATCTTCTCAGACAAACAAAACCTAAAAGAATTTGCTAACACCAGACCAGCACTTCAGGAAACTCTAAAGAGAGGGAACCAGAAATTAGTGTAATGGCTATGTCGCTGGACTCCCAAGTAGTCAACCTCTCACGTCCCGGACCCAGTGGCTTAAAACTCACGCCGGGCACGTGTGCATGCGTGCCCAAGATCCCGAGAGGAGAATAGAAGAGAAGGGATTGCGGTGTGACCATCTCCCCTGGGGGATGATTTCTCGCTTTCTGTCTCTCTGTTTCTGTCTGTCTGGCGAGCGCATGCGCCCTATAGTGAAAACCTCTCTCAAAAAAAAAAA